TGTGGCAATAGAATGAAAACTAGTTACCCTTTTCATTTCTCACATATCCAAGACAATCCTTTCTGACATGGCTGGATCAACAGTCCATCATGATGGACCAGGGTTGAGTTTTGAGTCTTTGGTCTACATCCTCATATACAACTGGAGTAGCCCAACATGCCACTTGAGGAAAGTTGATTGAAAGTCATAACTTTCTGACCTAACCAACATATGCTCAAGGATTGTAGGGTTTAGGGGTGAGTCAGATTTCCCATTAGCTCTAGAAATTGCATGTGTCCTTTTGGGTATTCTGCCTCACATACATTTTAAAGCCCTAGGCTGAGAGAAGGACCGGAAAGGTGATCTACATAAAACCGGCGTGATAAGTACAAGGTTATTCCTAAAACGCAGCACTGTCTTGATACAAGTTGTACAAGCAACAAGTTATATAATGTGATTAAGCGTTGCCTCAGCAAGTAGGCTAAAAAGAGAGGAATCTTAAACTTTCCATCTTTAGCTTGTGAGTTAGTATAGGAACAGTGCGCAGGGCATGGCTGGAAGCAGATATTTTGTTGACATGCATGCGCCTACCAACGTATTTACTTATATGTGACTACTGGATACTTATATCAAGTTAACATCATCTGAGTGTCAAAAAAGTCATGAACCATTAACTTTCAATATATTTTTCTTCTGACAAGGTAGCAAACACTGAGAAGGGGGACAATTTTGAAAGCAGTGAAAAAAAATGAAATCTGAAAAATAGAGACTTTCAAAAAATATATATATTTATAATATTTATATATCTATATAGACACAGTATTTTTCTAATTGGTTAATGGCAGGGTGAGACAGTTGCAGGTGAGGGAGGGGGAATCATCTTGCTTGAATTTTTCAGAAGGAGAGAGACATTGATAACAAACATAAAGAATAACTCTCGCAGTCTCCAGCATCCCATCTGGGTGTGGATGGGATACAGAGCCTGGGTGATGATGCCAAAAACTGATGTTCCCACTCCATCCAAGTACCTGTCTCAACAACTCTCAGATGCAAAACTCATGCTTTATACGACAATATCCAGAAAGGAATCTCTCTTCACACACTTTCACACGTACTCACACCGTTATCCCTCACGTCATTCAACAATAAAATACAAATGCATTCATGCTCATTTGCTCAGGCAGAGGATGAAAAATGTGGGGGTGGGGATGAGGAACATTGTACAATGTCATTGTCCTGGGGCACAGTATTAGAAGCCCCTGCTTTTACAGCATTCGGGAGGTGGAACTGACCTCAGGTTTTGAAACTTTGCCCATGATGGCCACAGTAACAAAAGGAAAGCTTTGGACCTTCACTAATCCCCAGACATGGTATTTTCCAGATATACTGGGGCTATAACTCCCAGAATTGCAGGAAAAAATCCCAGTGTGTCTGGAGGTGGCAGGTTATACAGAGAGTATTATGGGGTAGAAGGAACAGAGGGAGCTGCAAATATTGGAGGTGAAAGATAAAAGCAACAGGGCCAAGAAAAAAAAAATAAATACTTTGTGTAAATTTCATTTTTTAAAAAATTATTGATTAGCTTACATTATTTTGTCAGTATATTTCATACATACTTACATACATACATACATATATATATTATATAAGAAGGCAATGAAAACGCATGGGGAATTTAGGTGACTGCATGTCTCGCAAGTTGTCGCACTGGTTTGTAGTGAATACTGCATGAGTTTGTATGAAGGGTCTCATTAACATGGGCTGTATCCCAAAAGATTTCTGTTCTCTGCTATTTTGTTTCCTGTTCATGTCAGAATAAAATTGACGGAGAGACCAATTTTCATTAATGGTTTCTAGTGGAGGCCACTAAATTGTGTTGGGGGGCATCAGTCTGACTGTCCCACTCAATACTATTAACTCACTTAGATTTAGGTCCACCTCAGCTATATAGCATATTGGATAACAATTGCTCTCCAATGATTTCAATCAGATCTTGTTGAACTGCAACAGTAGCAGTGAACAAAATTTATAAGGTTAGGTTATTAACAGAGCATGTATAGAGTTTTTCATATTGTTTCCATGTATGGTAGGCTCTTCAGTAATTTTTACCAGTCTGCCCTGGATCAGCTGATATATAGTGAAACAACAGTGGCTTCCTTGAGTCTAATTTAAGTAGATATTGAAAAAATTCACAATAAACCCATAGGATCTGGTAGAAAAGAACACCTCTTTATCCATTCAGCACAGCATTTTTATGCCTAAAATTTGCCAGTTATAGATGTTTGGGAGGATAGTGAGAAATTCTCACGACACTACAGAAATTCTATGTGATAGATCAGTCCACATTATTCACCCTCTCCTTGACATATACCAAGCATGAATAGTTTATAGACAGTGTATACGTGGCCTCCATTAGAAATGCCAAAAATCATACTAGTAGAAGGATTCACCTGTGATGTTAAATATAAAAAGGTACAGTCTCTCTGCAACTGCTACACTTTCTCATTTACTCTGGAAAGGATATGAAGTTGCTTTCCATGAAATGATATGCAAGATAAAGGAACAGTCTCCCTTTTTACAATAAATGTCAATCTAGCATAACATTATTAGCAGGTCAGTGCAAAATCTAATGTTTGATGCCTCCAAAAGCAAAAATAAAGCTTAATAATGCAACAATAATGAACTAATTTTGCTACATATTGAACCTCCAATGGACAAATTAATCACATATGGCCACTGTCTTTTCAAACAGCTAGGGCCATGCTTAAATCAAAGTCTCACATCAAGCCAAGTCTTTATATTGGTTATTCTTAGTGATTTCAAAACAAAATCCCCCCTCCCAATTATTGGATTATTCATCTTGCCTTTGCTCTATTGAATAATTTCCATGCAACTTCCAAAATCACATGTATGTCTCCCTAAGGACAAGCCTGGGCAGGACTGCTTTTATCCTAAACTCAAAAGGAAAGGCATTCCCCAACCCCGGTGTTTGAATATTTTAGATAAAGAGAGTCTTAGGACAATTTATTATGGACCGCATTGCATAGTCTCTGATAGATACTACTGGATTTTGCTTTGGCTAGCATGCTCCACAAATTATTACTGAAAAAGAGATTCTCAGCTCTGAAACTCGTTTGTACAGATTGGTAGGTGCACATGCATGTGTGAATGAGTGTGACTACTGATTAAAATAAATATTTCCCACTTCCACTGCTAAAAGCTGTTCGTAAGTCTTTCTTTGATGTGATGGAGGCCTATGACCTCAGGGGAATGGGATGATGTGGGTTTCAACAGACACATGTTCTGAATAGCCATCAGAGGCAAGAAGTCTCACATTAAAGCCCCACATTAAATACTGAAATATGTGCATATCACAGACAGACACACATGCATGTGCACACACACTCATACAGACACACTTCATACTTTCCGCAGTAGTTAAATTGGGAGCATTTGCTTTTAAAAATGACTGCATTTTTAGCATCTCTCTGGATATTATTCCTGAAGCTCATATATTCATGGGTATTTTTGTGTTGGTTTTGTTTTTGCCTTATTTTCTAAACAAGCAACTACTAGATAGACCTATCCCACAAAGATTACTAAGACTCATACTTTGGCCTGTGGGGCTGAATTATCTGATTTTGTGCTGATCCAAAAGCCAAAATTGTTTCCATCTCTTGATCTTGGCAGGGAAAGGCAATGGTGTCAGTTCCTTGGTTTCTGCTACATACATGCGTTTGGTTGGTTTCAGCCTTCCAACAATCCAGATCGCTTTTTTTTTAACCTCCCCTTCCCCCCATCAGTTCACGTCTCTCCTTCACGTTGCACTTCCTCACACTACTTCTCGGAACAACTCCAAGTCCTTCGTCAAAATTCAAGGGCAAGAAGCCCCCTGCGAGGGGGAAGCCACAGTTCATCTCTTGTGAGAGGAGCCAAGCATAACTCTGGAAACGAAATTGACAATGGCAGCAGCTGGCTGATCTGGATCCAGCTCAGCAAAGAGGTGGCAAACGTTGTCCGTCGTACTGCCTTGCTTCCTAGCCACAAAGCCAAAGAGTCTGCATGGGTGACAAAGAAATTAAGGAGGAATAAAATCACATGGGTCAGACAGGAAATGCCCACCACTATTTGTGATCACTACTGTATCAGATAAACTCTTGACACACTCTGTCTTCAAGCATGCCATTTGAAATGGACAGGGACCCAAGAGGAATAGATTTCATTTTAAATGGCAAAGGATGTGAAGTTTAATTCCCTTCATAATAAAGACAGGGACTACTCAATGCTGTAATTCCATTCTTTCACTGAAGACAAAATAATATTAATTAGCACTTTCAGATCAAGTTCTAACTACGAAATGTAAAGGAGGAAAATGCCACTCTGTACCTGCCATTTCTAAATGGAGAAAAATCAAGGCAGCTGGAGTTTCTAATAAAAATATCCATTCCTGTACACATTGCCCTAAGATTAGTGGGGGTTATGGAACCTGTTCCAAAGGGGCTAAACTCGTAGGACATCAGGTGAAACCACGGCTTGACAGTGGAAGAGGTTCAAATATCTTAAATGTGTTTGATTTTTTATAAGGGTTTTTTTTTGGCCCAATTATAATACAACCATGTGTAATATACACACTCATGCGTGCAAGCATGCACATACACCACTTGGCAAGCCAAATTATTACATGACCTGCATTATTTGGAGCTCCCGGGGAATAGGTCGTAGCATTAAGTCAGTGTTATATCCTTAATACAGGGGCATCTTTCCAATGTCATCTTGGCAAAATTAGCAATGACATTTGGCCTTTAGGTTTGAATCCTTTTCTATTGATAAAAAGTGGGGGGGGGGAATCTTGAGACTCTAAGAATGTAAGCAGATGTTTTAAAAATTCTGAACAGAAGAGAATTACATTGTCTTGCAACTGAAATATTTTTTTCAGTTTCTCATCTTTGGTATTAAAGATCCATTCCAATTCAAACTCTTATTCAGGGAAGGAATCCAAATCAAAGGATAAAGGTTTGTTCAGCCCCTGCTTGAACAATCCAGCAAAAGGAAGCTCACCACCTTCCTCGATAACTGGTTCTACTGTCAAACTGCTCAGGATTAGGAAGTTTTCTTACATTCAGTTAGAAATTGCATTTCTGTAACTTAAAACCATTATTGCATGTCCTGCATTCTGGAATGACAGAGAACATATCTTGACTTTTTGTGTGGTATCGCTTCAGGTACTTGACAAGTACTATCCTACTGTCTTCTCAAGGCTAATCACACTGTTTTCTTAGTCTCTCCTCATAGGACATAATTCCCAGTCCCCCATCCATCTCATTGTTCTTCTTTGCACCTGTTCTAGCTTCTCTGACTCCTTCCTAAAGTATTGTGCCTACTTTAAGGTGGAAATAGGGTCTGACCAATGCAAAATGTAATGGATCTATTATATACCATGCAACTTCCTGCAGCATAATGTTTGGACTGGGTCATTACATTGTTTTGGCAACCGTATTAATTCATATATGCTTTATATTGCTATTTTTCTAAATAAACATTTCTCACTGTAAATGAAGTGAAATATTATATGTATTGTATATTTTTCTTAAGTGAGCAATGAATAAAATTCAAGCAATCCTGAGAATTCACAGACAACAGAGAATTCAACCAGGATGCTTTTCCTCAGAATACTCACACAGAATTAAGTATCTCTGAGCTACATATCTGAAGCTATAAACTCCCTTCACATCATAGTAGGTAGCTGATTCCACCCTGCTTGGTTACATAATATATGAATATATAATCTGGAACAATCAAAGATGACTTAACAGGATGGATTATGGGCCACAGAAAAAAGTGTGTCTTAATTGTGCAAGCAATTTTGCTAAGAAGGTGCTTTGCATTCAATCACAAATTTGTGAGCAAATCAACTACTAGAGGTCACCAGACTTCACCAACTTTGCACTGTGATCCTTAGGTCTGATCAGAAAATCAAATCAAATGAAACTTAAAAACTAAGCAGTTTGATTTTGCATGATTTCAGGCTTCTTAGGCATATATAGACTGTAAAGATATCAGTTCAGACCAACTGTTGAATGAATCATTCCTTAATTTAGCTCTGTCTCCTTTCTTAGATCAATGTCTCTGGAACTCTCTTTGAAACCTTTGGTGGATTTGAGGACTATGAGAAGGATACCCTGTCCTGTGTGGCCATATTTATATTTATTCTAACTCTGACATCGATCAAAGTAAACAACTTACTTGGCAGCACCACCAGATTCTGATTTAGTCCACCTGAGAAGAAACAACAACAAAAAAGCTCTATTTAATTTTCACAGGGAGGATGATTTGACATTTTTTTAAATGGTGAGTTAAATACATGGGGTATGTAAGAGAGTGGGAAGCCCTGAATGGAACGCTACTGGTTCATTGACCAAACAATAGAGCCTTTCCTCTGTAAATAAATGGCTACAACAACCAGGAAAGGGGTTGAAATCCTTTATATTTCCCTATTGTTTGAAAATCCCCTATTGTCTCTTAATTTTTCTGAGAAACTATCTGCTGCTTAAAAAGTATTATGATCTGACTTTTAGAAATACTGGGATTAGAAATCGTTTGGAAAAGTGTTCTAAAATTCCACCCCCAAATGCCACTATAGTGCCTACTGACCATTAAAAAAATAAATGAACAATGGTGTAATTTTTTTCAGTCCTTCCCTATCACAAGCCTGCAGCTTCATTGACCTATATCAATAAATGCCAGTATCTTAAGAGCATTTTACCCCAAACTGCATTATCATTACTCTGCAAAGAAACAGATCAACAATTCTCTGTTCTTCATTAGCAATTTAGTTCTCTACAGAGCAGAATCAAGTTGTGGGAGACGTGCAAATCTCAACTGCTGTTGATAATTTCCTGTATATTTGCTTCAACATGGAACAATCTCATTTCTTGGAAATCAAGGAGATCTGGCAGTAGCAACATAGGGGAACAGATGTTTAATTATAGAGATTTCTGCTCATACATAGAAACAAAGAGTCTGCAAGAATGATTAGTTCCTTTCAAGAGCACAAATTAAAATAGGATTCCAAGAATCCTGTCCTGGGCAACTTCCAATTTTTTCCCCCTAATCTATGTGTTCCTATCTTTCCATTCCAGCCAGTGGTTTTTATTCATTCTGATACTGAAGCATATCTTGTCATTTCCATCTCTCAGTTTGTTCAGGTACAAACTGATAGATGTTTGTTCATAGTGAGGATTCTGTTGGGTATTTGCAGAAGCTCTGGAATTAATATTAATCAGAGAATTTTAAATATATATTAACCCCTTTTATAAATGTGTTTGTTCAAGATACATGCATTAGAGGCATTCTTCCAGATCCAATCCCCTGCAGAAGTGGCACCACCTTTTTGATAGTGGCTTTTTGGCTGTAAAATACCCTACAGAGATTTTTAGTTGGTTCCTCCTCTACCAGTTTTTAAATGCCAAGACACCATGTTTTTCATTCATGATGGATTTTACTCCTGCTTTCACTGCTGCTGTTTCAGCTGCTAAAGAGTTAAAACTCTTTCAAGATATATAAGACGTCGGGGGGAAAAATACGAGGACCATTCTGACACCTACATACACACTGCTACCAGGAGTTTCATTGCTTGAGTTCACATAAGAATTGAGCAAACAACTACACTTACTTTCTATCCTGTGGGTCCACATCACAGAAGGTGACAGTAATGATAGGGTAATGTCGTCTGAAGAACAGCCTGAAACAGAAAGGTGGATAAGGATTAATTACACAGCCATCTGAAATAATGGCAACTGAAGGATGGTGAATCCATGCAGACAATAACTAAACCATCCCAAGGCAGCTTATCTACATGATCAAGAAGGAAAGTTCTGACTATATGGCAGGTGGTGATAGTACCATAAGACCTGTATGGGCTCTATATTTGTAATATTCAAAGTTAATGAAACACTTCTGGGTAGAGATTTATTCTGTTCAAAATACCCTGACCCTTTCTGATAACCTTGCAAATATCATTTCACTCGTTGTGGCCACAAAGAACTCTGCAATATGATGCTAGAAAATTTTGTAGTGAAGTGAAGAACACATTGAAGAACTTGTCCCCAACAAGATACTGATGCCAGAGACACCCAGGCTTCTCCAAACCCTGAGCCCCAGATCATCCTGTTCCCTTACTTCCTCTGGTTGTCTGTCAAGGTGATGCCTTGCGTGGAGACCTTGAAGTGGACGATAGTAGCAGAGGGAGGGATGTCAGCAGCCAACGTCTCAGTGATTGCTTTGGCGATGGCCTGAGGGCCTGTTAATGATTCCATCTCCACTGAGTTTATAAACAGCACATTGCAGGCTGGGGGGGAAAAAGGGGAAATTGACACAAACATTTTTGGGATGGTAGAATGAAGGAGAAGAACAAACACTGAAGCATATACAACACTGCTACTTGCACTACAAGGAAGGTAACATATATCACCATTCCCTTTTGCCTATGCTGACCAGGAATTCTGGGATGAATACTGATAACACATCTGGTGAATGCCAAGCAAGGAAAGGGCGGTGTATATATGTCATGTTTTTCTCTTTCACAACAAACAATACTAAGGAACTTATTACCTGGCTGCTTTTCACATTATTTCAATCTTTTTCAGTGTCAGAATCAGAAACATTCTGTGATGGCTAAGTTTAACACAAGATTCCCACCAGCAAGAATAAACATAAACCAGAGATTCATTCATTTATTCACTGGATTCTTACCAACCCTTCCTTCAGGACCATCCTTTAATTCTACCGTCACAGCAATAGTTAGTTAGACAGCTGGGCTAAGATTAAGTGACTGGCTTAGTGATTCAGGGAGCTTTCTTTGCCTTGTGTGAGTTTGAACCTGCAATTTCCTGGCAGTAGTCTAACATCCTAACCATTGAGAGTGCCTTAGATTTTCATTTCAGTTCATTCAAAATGGGTAACCTTAAGTCGCTCACCTGCCCCCTGTTTGAGCAAATCAGTAGCTGAGTTGCTAGACGACGTTGTTTCCTTTGTTTCATCCATAGGATCTTAAAATAAAAATGGAGAGGAGGTTATTTCTATTAACATGCACCGATGTTATTTTTCCGTGTTCGCAAGGGATTATATTTAACAATCTATATTTATGGAGAAGATTCATTTTCATCTCAGATTTCTGGAAACCAAATAAAAGGGTGGCAACTATTTCAAGTTAACTAAAAAAAAAAAAAAAGGAATGTCTTGATTTACAATACAGGGATCAAAAGACAGTATTTTTTCATATAATTTTTATTAAGAATTTTAATTACAATAGTAAAAACTAATACAAACTGAACTAGGAGAAAGAGAAAAGAATGGAAAGAAAGAATAAAAAGTGCAGGAAAAAAGAAAAAGAAAGAAGAAAAAGAAAAGAAAGCATATAAGAAAGAAAAAGAAAAATATATAAAGAAGTTATTTCCAATCTTCATCATACCAAGTATAAACAAATTTAGTAACTCTTCAACCCCTATAAGGTTAAACAAATATCCCTTCATCCCAAATTTCATCCATTTTCTATAAGCAAATCTATAAAACAGCAACTTTTCAATCCTGGTGTCAAGGATTGCCAGAGCATAGCAAAAAAAAATTCTTATTTTAACCTTGATCAAATAAACCAACTTTATATTTATTCCTTTTACTTCTAATAGTCTTAAACTTTCATTCAATCAAATATTGTCATAGGATTTTATTTCTCTTCAATTCTTCTTTATCCCGCTGCACAGATTTCTTCAGGGTTTTAACAAGCCTCTTTTGTAGATCCAATAAAAAAAAAATTCCAGATCATTTGTATTTCCCTTTTAATTTTTAAAACTTCAGCCAGTTTCTTTTATATATCCAGTAAAGTGTCCTTTTCCAAATCATTCTCTTGGCCTGTCATTTGTAGTTCCACATTCTGTACTTTTTCTGCTTATCAGATAAAATTTGTTCCACACCTGTCATTCCTTCATCAACATCTTTTAGACATAGTCTATCCATAGAAGCTGACATCATTACTGTCAGTATTGATATTGTAATTACTAACTTCTGGCTCCATTCTTCAAAGATCTCCTTTAATATTTCCGATGCTATAACGTCTTCTATCATTTTGTAAATCCCAGTATTAACTGATATCAAGAACAGGTTTGTATTTTTTTTCTTCTACTTAAAATCTTTAGTCCCCTCTAGTGTCCAGTTTCTAAAATCATCACTTATCTTTTATTATGATTTGCAATAGCCAAGATAACCAAAATAGATTTGTTTCCCACAAGTTGTGGGAAACAAATCTATTTTGGTTATCTTGGCTATTGCAAATCATAGTCAGTTTGGAAAAGTCAATATTCCAAATTTATCTGGACCATTAATCCATTTATAACTTTCTTAGATCAAAATCTTATTTAGCTTTTTGCTGTTTATTTCAAATTCTTTAAATTCTTAAGCTTGTAATTAATTTTTCTTTTGCTGAGAGTTGAAGATAAATTCACCTGATGACTTTTCAGACTTGTCTGAAGGTCTCTAATAGCTTTAAGATGGTTAATAGGCTATTTCCAAAAGTGATTAGAAAGTGAGGTTTGCAAACAGTGTCCTTTAAAAGGCTCTGCTGCAGTTGCAAGCAAGGTGACTGATCACATTGTTTCCCGGTGCTCAACCCTACGGAAAACCTCTGTCCTGAAGTCTCCTTGTGAGGAGCAG